CACAGCCTTAACGGTCAGAAATACAGTAAATTGAGTCGGAATTTTCTTTCTTTAAAGTATATTTTTCAAAAACGTTATTTCACTAGATATTTATTTATTTATTTTCTTTACATTATTTATATGTATAGATTTATATATTTATATATATATATAAAACTATGTTTGTATACAATATAATTGTCACTCCCCCCTTCTTTCTGTCCTTTCCCCAACAAAAGGACCCTGTTTTAACGTGACCTAACACCAAGGGTGCCAGGGACGAACTGTTCTTCTTCTTCTTCTTCTTCTTCGAATGATACCTCGATTAACAGATAAATGTCACATAACTGCCTTGCATGGATTGGATAGGCAAATATATATATATATATATATATATATATATATATATATATATATATATATATATATATATATATATATATATATATATATATATATATATATATATATATATGTGTGTGTGTGTGTGTGTGTGTGTGCGCAAATACATACTGATTTACTCAGCTATATCTTAGATTTGCATTGCATGTCTGTCTACCTTATTACGAGGGTTATAATCCCCGTATAAGATGAGTAACCGAGGCAAAGCAGAGTTGTGTTTTGTCCTCTCTTAAGTGCACCGTTTGATGTGGATTGGAGCAGGGGGATTAAGACTGGATACCCTTCCTAACGTTCCTCTGTGGGATCGAACCCGCGTTAGTCACCTCCCTATTCACGCGTGCTACCACTGAGGCAACGTGGCTCCTTTCTCTCTCGTAAATATCTATCAAAACTTTCGTGTCTGTGAAAGTTATTTTGAATGTGATGTGTATGCATTGAATCCAACTTTTTTCATAGATATTGATATTGGGAATTGGTTTATCTATTTGCGATAAGGAAAAGAACAAAAGAATAGATAGAAGAATCAAAGTATCCTAGAATCCGGCCTCTTGGGGGAGCAAGCCAGCTCAACTGGATGGAGGTCCCAAGCCCGGATAAATGGAGATTGTTGGTGTCAGGAAAGCATCATACCGTAAAATTAAAATGTGCAAGCAGCAGCCAGTCTCCTAAGAGGGTAGTGAGAAACAGTGACCTCATATGAACATGGGAAAGCTCTCTCTCTCTCTCTCTCTTTCTCTCTCTCTCTCTCTCTCTCTCTCTCTCTCTCTCTCTCTCTCTCTCTCTCTCTCTCTCTCTCTCTCTCTCTCTCTCTCTCTCTCTCACACACACACACACACACACACACACACAGCAGTAATTTACTCTAATTTTCTACTTCTATATTTTCATTTTCCACTTTCATCTGGGGTCACTAAACTTTGATAGATTCCTCCACTCAATTGTGTTGAATACATCATAATTTTATTTACACAATTCTTTCTTAATAGTATTATCTATTGGCTTTGTTGCATTGTATACTTTGTATTCTTCCTCGGATTTAGCTTTTCACAATTTCATATGGTGTCGCTTTACCTGACCAACCTATTCCATTCATATCTCTTCAGTACATTACAATTATTCTATAGTATTTTTTTTATATTAATTATTACTATATACTGCATTATGTATATTATCATGCACCTCCAGTTTGGCATTGTCAAAAAATGGAAATAAATGTTTGTTAGTTTGTTTGTTTGATATTTGTTTAGATTTTAGTCTTACATCTGTCATCAATATTATAGTTGCTTTAATTACTTACTACAGTCATAAATATTATAGTTGCATTAGTTACTATATAAATAATCCTCGTTTTATGAATCACTGGCAGTCCCCATTAAGGGGGTGAACACAGAGTGTGGTTGGGAAATTATGATTGGATGCCCTTCCTAGCGCACCGCGGTGGGCTCGATCGCGGGTCGGTCAACTCTACAGTCGAGTATTATAGCCATTCGACTTCCGTAGTCCACGCATTGTTAACACTGTCTAATGCTCTATGTGTTCTTGCGAGCAATTGCAGTTCGCCATTTCTGCTTTGAACGCAGTTTTATTGTAATCTGTATCAGAGAATTACAAATTACTATTCTCTAACTGAATTTGTTCAAAATCAATGTGACAGTCTTATTAATTGATTGCATTATCAGTTGAATCAGTAATATAGCTTTATTAATTAAATGACATTATCAACTTCATATGTTTTAGCAATATTAGTTTCATTAATTAAGTACATCATCTATTCGATTTGTTCAGTCAAGATTATAATTGCGTTACTTAGATACATTATGAACTGCATTTGTTCAAGAATGCAAGCAAATGCGATTTGCGACAGTTTTCGCCAAGGCACCAGCCCTCGATAGCTCAGTTGGTAGAGCGGTGGACTGTAGTTGGCAGAGATCTCTAAACAGACATCCATAGGTCACTGGTTCGAATCCGGTTCGAGGGAAACGCTTTTAACGTAAACATTAATTAACTTTATTTCCTCTGTCATATTATATTTCTAAAGTTTTGGAGTTTTCTTTTATTTATAGAGTAAGATATGGGAAAGGAGATGATACTTTTTTCATTTTTACTTGTCTGTTGCTTATTGTTTATCTAATATATTAATTTTGGAGGTGAGATTTTCATTAATTGTTTGTGTATTATATTTCGCTATGATGAGATGAAAAAGACGCTTCTGAATTTTCGCGTGTTTTGCGGATGCTTAGATCCCATGTGGTCTAGTGGCTAGGATACCTGGCTTTCACCCAGGAGTCCCGGGTTCGATTCCCGGCATGGGAAGATATTTTAGAGCCATGTAACTCTTGCTGTATCCTTACACCACGAGTAAAAAAAAAGGATTGATATATTTAAATGACTGCATATTACAGTTTGGATCAATCTCAGAATAGGGATTTGATGTATTTCAATCCCAAATCAAGAACCTGCCCTTAATATGAATTTTCCGATAGGTTAACCTAACTTTGTTTGTTTCGGTTTTACGTCACGAACTCCCTTTTCTACTAAGGGCTAGGACGGTTGCCTTCTTGCAAAGGACTTGTTTTGGCAGATGTAATCGTTACCCTGAGTTTATGCCCTAGGTTAACCTTACCTAACCTAGTCCAAATTAATTTTTTTTTTATTTTAAATTTCTTCGTTCAGCCTCATTCCCAAATCAGGCACCTGTCTTTTGCAGGTGCCTATTCTGTTATTATTTCTTATATTTATCTTTCCTGAGGAGGAGAAATACCTCCTCCTTGAATCCTGCGTGTCGTAAATGTCAACTAAGCTTGGAGGAGTATGGAGACTGGGAAGTCCCTACTATGTATTTCCCTCCCACAAAGAGTAAAATTTATTGCTTTAGCTCTATCACCCCCTTATATATATATATATATATATATATATATATATATATATATATATATATATATATATATATATATATATATATATATATATATATATATATATATATATATATATATATATATATATATATATATGTATGTATGTATGTATGTATGTATGTATGTATGTATGTATGTATGTATGTATGTATGTATGTATGTATGTATGTATGTATGTATGTATGTGTGTGTGTGTGTGTGTGTGTGTGTGTGTGTGTGTGTGTGTGTGTGTGTGTGTGTGTGTGTGTGATTACCTAATTGTGTTTACGGGAAAGAGCCCAAAGCTCGTATCTTCCCGTCTCCTCATCGGTTCCATTTTCTACTTAGTGGTACTATCATACCTGTCCTTAAAACTATGGATTGAGATAGCATTAACTACCTCCTCGCTTAGCGAATTCCAATTATCAACTACTCTTACACTGAAAAAGTGTGTGTGTGTGTGTGTTAGTTAAACATCAAAGAGGAATGTAGTTATTGGACATTGTTCTCGAAATCCCCGTTGAAGAGAGTGTTAGTGAGAGGCTTCTCTATGGAGGAGTTCTTCGCTTAAAAATAAGAGAAGAAAAATCGATTTATGTGATTTTTATGGATAGATAGATAGATAGATAGGTAACATATGAAATTTATGTAAATGTTTACATAGTCACGCGAAAAAGAAATTTAACATTTGATATAATTTATCATCATAATGTAAGAAATTTAAATAATTATTTACGTATAGAGAAGATTGTTCTATATTTTCAATTAATATAAAAAAAATATTTAAAGTTCTGCCATTTACTTGTTCTTTACTAAAAAACAGGTATTATTTTATAATATATATAACTTTAATGTAAATACTTTAAATCTATGGAAATATCTGTATGTTAATAGAAATAGATTACTCTCTCTTTTATTAAAAATATTAATTTACTTTGAAAATTATAAATAAAACTTTTGGGCGATTATTCATCCAAATGCTTGAAAGTAATTTTTTTTTCTATTTTCAGTGCTATGCTGTTTGCTGGTTTATATGTCACTGTTAATTCCCATTCGAATGAGAGTGGACGTAGACACGTTGGAGCTGGGGAATTTGGGCTGGATGCATGTCATATTTTCTTTATTGCAAAAGCTATATCACTTCCAACATTGTCTTAAAATATCGAGAATTAATCTTTCTCTCGAACGATTTTTCCGGCGTTTATCAGATCCCGTGTGGTCTAGTGGCTAGGATACGCGGCTCTCACCCGCGAGGCCCGGGTTCGATTCCCGGCACGGGAAGATCTTTTTGTGTCATGGGATTAGAATCTCTGAAGTATTATAATTAAGTTAGTTTTATGCAAGTAAATTATTATTATTAACATGATATAATTAGTGATTTTTTTTAAGTAAGATCATGTTATGGCAAATGAAAATTTATTCATGCATTATTTAAGCCTTCTTTTGCATTCTTTTATCGGGCCCGTACACTAAGAAAGTATAATAATAATAATAATAATAAACCTTTATTTCCAGTGTACATTGGGTATTCAAATAAGATACATATATATTCCAGATAGACATCTGTGGTGTACGATATAGACATACTAAAACAAACAAATCATAAAGATGAGTGTACCATTCAAAATTACAAGTAAAATCTTCCTTTAAGAGTAACTTCTTAAGATTATATTTAAAAGTATACACTGAACCAGCATTTTTTAGTTCACTGGGAAGCTGATTATATAAATGAGGTCCACGAATGTTTATATCTCTTGAGCCAATATCAGTTTTAGACCTTCGTACTAATAAATCTTCCCCTTGACGGGTAGAAAATTTATACAAGCAATCAGGAAGATTGTTTCTTAGTATATTAAAAACAAAGGTACATATATCAAAAACATATTTATCTCTAATCTTTATCCATTCTAGATCTTTTAAAACAGGAGAGATGTGCTCGTATTTTCTTACGTTGCCAACAGCCACTCGTGCTGCAAAGTTTTGTAACTTTTGTATTCTTTGTAATTGAGTCTTATTTGTACATCCCCAAACTTTGAGACAGTAATTAATTAAACTCATAGCTAAGGACTGGACAATTATTATACGAGTTGATGTTTCAAATGAGTCTTTTACCCTATTTTTTTTTCTTTTATTTTTAAATGTCAAATGTACAATATTTACAATTGTTAAATGATTACAAAATTACATTGGAAAATTCTTTTTAGATATATTAGAGTACTCATTACTTTTTTTATAAATTTCATCTATATGCATTTCAAAATTCATGTAACGGTCAAAATAGACACCTAGGTTTTTTACCGAGTTCATTGGCTTAATGATATTACCGTTAAAATTTATATGAAGATTGTCACCAACTTCTGATAATAATTGTCTGGATCCGATAAGAATAGATTGGGTTTTAGTTTCATTAAGTAACAGACCATTTTTTAGAAAATAACGTTTAGCCATATACAAAATTTCTTCTGCTCTACGAATAATATTTTCTAAATCATTAATTTCTCCTTCAATTAAGATTTGAGTATCGTCAGCATATTGAATGACAACAGTTAGGTAAATATTTTACTAGATCGTTTATATATATTAGAAAAAGTATAGGTCCTAGGATCGATGCCTGAGGAACCCCAAACAATACCTTCTTGCGACTTGAAACTACATCTTTTATTCTGACTGACTGGTAGCGGTTTTTTAAATAGTTCTCGAACCAGCTTGGGTCAATGTTCATTTTTTTGCATTTTTCTAATAAAATAGTATGGTTAACACTATCAAAAGCTTTAGAAAGATCGAGTAGTAGTAGCAATGATATTTTCTTATTATCTATATTTTTGTATATTTCATCTGATATTTTCAATAAGGCAGTTTCAGTTGATAATTTTGGCCTGAAACCGTGTTGACTTTTTGCAATAAGTTTATTTTTTTCAAGAAACTCACTTAACTGATTTGCAACAATCTTTTCAAGTATCTTTGATAAAATTGGTAGTAAAGAGATTGGTCTATAGTTAGTGACGTCGTCAAGATTTCCACTTTTAAAACCAGGAATTACATGGGGATTTTTCCATAAATCTGGGTAAATATTGGTAACTATGGAAGTATTGATTATTACCGTCAGATAATATGCTATTACAAATAATGAATCTCTAATAAAACGAAAACAAATTCCATCTGATCCATATGCATTAGAGTCTTTCAGATTTTTTATTACTAAAATTACTGTATTACAATCTACTGTAGTAGGGTTAAAGACATCATTACTTCGATTGAATGTACTATGTTCTTCAATATTAACATTATTATTATTATTATTACTACCATCATCACTATTATCTTTACCATTGCTACCACCATCATTATTATTATCATCATTATTACCATTATTATTATTATTTTCACCATTATCAACATTACTATTATTATTACTACTACCATCATCATTATTACTACCACCATTACTATTATTGTTTTCATTCATTATTTCTTTCCTTGTTTTTTCAAAGGTTTTTTTCCCCACTTCAGCAAAAATATTATTAAACTCTTCTGCTTTAGCACGTACATCTACCTCATCGGGTATAATTGATTTATTACTATTTTTATTACAGTTA